CCCCAAAACCCCAAAACCCCAAAACCCCAAAACCCCAAAACCCCAGTAAGTCAAAATAATTTGAAAATTAAATTTTTGAATATGGAACCAAGAAAACTTTATTTCCAAGACCCGCACAATAAAGAAAATGGCTCACCAGCTAGAATGTTTACCAAGCAATTCAACGAAGGTATTTTTCATGGAGAGCTCTTCCAAAATAACCTTACAGATTTAGATGAAAGGACACCTCACCCAGAGGACTACCGCAGATCTGATATTTCAGAGCATCTTCAGAGCGATGTTGAGTACAACACCATTGGATCTGATTATGAAGCCCAGATCAAGCCAGAAGAGACTTTCGAGCTAATCAATGCCAGGCAGGTTGATAAGAACGCATATGGCTGCATTAGTACCGAAGATGTCAGCCTCAGATTTAAACGAAAGAAACCCAACCAAGCTAATAAAGAAAATAATGCACTCAGGTATAAAAGTGTAGACCACTCAGGTAAATCTATTGGATGATCCCTAGCGTTTAAAAATTCTCAAGTGAAGAAAGAAATTAGCTTCCAGAAGTTACTAGCAAGGACCTGTTCAAGTCCTGATGAACAAATTGTTACAACTGAAAATTATTTCCCTACGGAAGAGACTGAAGAGAAACAGAAGGAGAGCTTTACACAAACTTTCTCTAAGGTAAGTCCTCGCCACAACTGTTAGGGATATCATACATTCTGATTATAGGAAATGAAAATGGATCAATTTCGACCGGCAAAGCCTGAAGAATCAATGCATATTCTTAAAGAGCAGGACTTGAATAAGATACTTTATAACTCAAATAACTCTGATGCCTCACTACCAACACTTATTCAAAAGATAGAGAATGAGAACAAGGAACCAAAGAAGGAACTCAAACCTTGAAGGTCTTCAAAAACTATTGAAATAATGCAGACTTCTCTAGAGGAAAAACTCAAGCAAGCCCAAGAGAGGACTAAAAGAGAACTTGAGAAGCAAGAAAGGCTCAAGAACAGTCACAAATTTGAAATTGAGGCAATGAATAATGAACTGTCTACTATTGCAGTCCAATTCTCATTCTCACAGGTACCCATATGTGCTAAATTCTAGAGAACCATTGATCAGAGAATTCAGTTGGAGAATCAACACTTTGACATTACACAAAGGATGAGAGGTGTCTGGAAGGAACAACTTGATCAACTCAAGCAGGTAATTTCCAAATTCTGATTTCCTAGACCCACCTTGAAGGCAAAGAGGATATTGAGAGTATTATAACTAAAAGAGAAAGCCAACTCAAGGAGCTCAAAGAAGGTAAGCCAGAACTCCAGCTGATTACATAGATGAAAATGATCTAATTAGCACCTACGAAAAATAAGAAGGACCAACTTAAAGAGCAAATTGAACTGCTTTCTAAATAGCATAGAGGATATGGTCACTGACAATTATAGCAAGGAGGAAAACAAGGAAGAAATGACCACTGAAAATACAAGGATAGAGGAAAATCTGTACAAAACCTCTGAAAGACTCGGTAAAGAATCTGAGTATCTCCAAGGACTTATCGAAGTCAATATGCTGCTCCATCAAGGTCTAGAAGAGATAGAGATCTTGTATCTTAAGAAGAGGAATAAGAAACTTAATGGCAAGAAGAGAAAACAAATGGTCACTCCAAGGCTCGGAAGTCTAAAATCCCCTACAACTCGAAAATCATCACAAAATGTAAACTCATTTAGAAAATTTACTCGGTCAAAATCAGGAAAAAGCCGAAGAAAACCCAGACCTCAGACCAAAGTTTCCAGTTCTTATCACACAAGCAGAGAGCTTGATGCTGGAGAATCCAGATAATTAATTAAATCTCTCAAAATCCGCTCTCTCCCCCGGGGTTTTGGGGTTTTGGGGTTTTGGGGTTTTGGGG